TAATCAATGCCTAATTTTCATTACAAAGCAGCACACCTGCTGGTACATCAGCAGAATAATGTGTGTCTTTTTATTATGTGCAAACATCTGTGTGGTGCAAGAATTTCTACAAACAAGATCTAATTGCAGGTTTGTTCTATGCTTAAGAGTACTGCTTAGCTTTCATTTAATGTTTATTGCTAATTCTTGACACAATATTTTGTCCTGTTAAAAAGCACCTGCTCCAGGTGAGGGTTGAACTCATGACCTCAGCATCACTCTGCAGGTTACTGTCATATAAGTACTGCACGCTGACCGATTGCGCCACTGGAGCCTGCTCAAAGAGATCATGATATCCGTTTAGGTGACGAGACGACACATTCCATATGCCATTGGCCAAGTTATGTTATCAGGGCTTCAAGGGCCAACTATTGCTATTAGGAGCGTAGCAAAGCCAGGCGCCCGGGAGCCAAGGCTTCACTATTAGGAGTTCGCCGGTGAGTTCCTAGATGGTTCCCAGTCTTCCTTCTTTTGGCAAGCCACACCACTAAATGTGGTTTTCCTTCAATTGGATGTCTGAATCACTTTTGGTCTGATCACTTCTGTGAGAACACTTTACAAAACATGACTGCACTAGAGGACTAATTCTCAGGTACCCTATAGTTTCCAGAATTTTACATATGCCCTGTCATCCAGAAGTAGCTCAAAGTAGAGCAGCTTTTTTCACATCAGGGGTCAGTAGCTGTTTTAGACACCTGATGGATTCCTCTTAGGGGAAAACTGCAAGGCAGATCCAGAACATGATAAAGAGACTATATCTCTTTTCTGACTCAGGAATCCTTAGGGATCGAGACTGAGATGGATATCTGCATTTTCCTTCTTGACCGGTTACTCACACGACAAATCCTAAATAAGTAAAAGACAATGGATGTATGGATGAGAGTCATCATTTTCTTTACTTCATTTTGTAGTCTGAAGCTTTTTTAAACTCCACTGATCCCACCACTGAACACAAACCTATGCCATTAATAACCTGCTGCTGCTAACACTTTGGCCAGCAATGTAATCAATGCCTAATTTTCATTATAAAGCAGCACACCTGCTGGTACATCAGCAGAATAATGTGTGTCTTTTTATTATGTGGAAACATCTGTGTGGTGCGAGAATTTTTGCTAACAAGATCTAATTGCCGGTTTGTTCTATGCTTAAGAGTACTGCTTAGCTTTCTTGACACAATATTTTGTCCTGTTAAAAAGCACCTGCTCCAGGTGAGGGTCGAACTCGGCGTCACTCTGCAGGTTACTGTCATATAAGTACCGTATGATGACCGATTGCGCCACTGGAGCTTGCCGAGACTGATCATGATATCCGTTTAGGTGATGAGATGACACATTCCATATGCCATTGGCCATGTTACGTTATCGGGGCTACAAGGGCCAACTATTGCTATTAGGAACATAGCAAGGCCAGGCGCCCCGGAGCCAAGTCTTCACTGTCAGTGCTGCTTCTAACACTTTAGCCAACAATGTAATCACTCTCTAATTTTTTTTACAAAGCAGCACCCCTGCAGGTACATCACTAGAATAATCTTTGTCTTTTTTTTTATGAGCAATCATCTCTGTGGTGCGAGAATTTCTGCTACCAAGATCTAATCACACATTAGTTCTATGCCTAAGAGTACTGCTTAGCTTTTGATGAAGTCATTAGGCGTTGACACTAGCTATTTCCATTACTTATGTAGCCAGGCCAGGTACCCCAGAGCCATCGCTTCACCATAAGGAGTTTGCTGGCAAGCACCTTGACCATTTTGGAATGGAAATGTCTATCTGGGGTTGAAAACCTAGAGAATATCACCCCAATAATCATGAAGTATCTATTCATCTGCAGAAAGAATTGTGATATTATTCAGATATTTATTCATAAAATATACAACAAATGTGCAATTTTCCTTCCACCACACAACTATATACTACTTGTGAGTCATTCACATAAAATACACAAAGGTTTCTGTGGAGTGTCCTGCAAGTTAAGGGAAAGATTACCTTTGAAAGAATGTGTTTAGAGGCAGAAAACATTTTTACTAAGGCACATGTTATTTTAATTACTTTTCAGTGACAAATTTATTTTGTTTTATCTAAGGTGTAAAGTCTAAAAGACTACAGGTTAAGTATTCATGAGAAATTTTATGACAATCTACGTCAGGTTATGATAAAAATATGTTGTTGTTTTTTTTGAAAAAGTGACATTCATGAAAAACCAGCACAGATGTTCCTAATGTATTCAATTAGTGTAGAAACTCTTATATTTTGTAACTGGTGGCATTGTAGTGGGTTGTTAAAGAATTAGATGTGTCAGAATTAATAGTTTTGTTTCTTTGCATTAGGATGAAAACAGGTGCATTTCTCAGCACTGGATTTTTCTCTATGATCCTGGCAACGGACATGTGTGACAGCATTACTGTTTATGGAATGATTGATGATAACTATTGCAGGTGAGTTTGTGATTTACGCTGTAGCTCCATCATTTTCATGTACAGCACCCCTCAAAAATGATTGCCCCTGTAAAAGATATGTACAAAAGCCTTATAAATGGTTGTTATGGAGGTTAAAGTTGAGTTCCCCTTTCATTGGGTTACCCATACCCTTAGCTCTATCTTGTGGCATTTATGTCAGGTGATAGATACTAGAAATCCCTTCTAAGCAATGGGGACTCACATCAAGAAGCTGATTCATTATCAGTTCTCTCTGTTTCCTGCTAAGTAAACATGCTTGACTTGATATCCCTGTCACATATTGTAGATAATTATGAATTCTGCAGCAGAAATAATTTTTTCAGCTTAAAATGTAATAAAAATGCTACATATAACCGAGTGAAACATAAATACAATTTAAAACTGTTAATGCATTTGGAGTATTTATAATGTATTACCAAAATACAAAGATAAACATGCCATGCTATATCATTGTTTAAAATAGCAAACCTAAAGTATTGTAATCTTAACTTGACGTGTACTTGTGATTAATCTGACTCCATCTATACTTAAGTATGTCAGAACTGAATATAATTTACAATTCTTATTGCATTTTTCACCAAAGTAATAAATCACTATACATTAAACTAGACATCACTGTGGTTCTGTTCTTGTAATGTAAGTTAGTAAAACTATGCTTTTCTTTTACCTCCTTTTTTCTTGGCATGGTGAGAAGAACTGAAAATCAAAAATAGTTGGTTTGTATCAAACTGGACATTACAATTGTTGTGGTTATGGCAAAGTATTTGTATTTTGCATTTTATTAACAGTGATGCTAGATGCAATATGATATTTTGGAACAATTCAAACTAGGATTTAAATTGATTATTGTCGTTATTATTGTCTTTATTTTTTTTTAAATATACACAAATTGAATTTAAAACCCCCTCCATTCAAAGTGTAAGCCTGAAAGTCATTCCCTTTAACCCATTCCCCTGATCCACAGAAGCAGTGGGGACTCCATAACATTTGTTAACGTAGAGTTAAGACATAAGAATGTGGGGTAACGTGTAAAATGGTATTCAGCCTTGGTGACCCTCTCTAAGAGTGTACTTCAGATATTTTTGTTTCGCTTCTTCACTAGCCTCCTTACTGATCATTGTGGCAAGATAAACCTGTCCTCGTCCAGCCTTGTTCGTCTCAGTTGCAGTTGCTTTAAAACTTTTAATTAGTGATCTGACTGCGAATGCTGGCAAAGGTAGAAAAGTATATATTTTTTGTTGCCATTTCCTGATCTACAAAGATCAACACACATCTGTCCTTCTTAAAAGTCATCTTCTCTTCTCAATCTTTGAAGAGTGACTTAGGAAAATGGGCCTGTCAAGTCATATAGAGACCTCAGGAAAACATAATGTTCGGAATTATTAATGGAAATCTCGTAGACAATCTGATCAAGCATGGTAAAAATGACGCAGCTGCATTTATTTAACGGGAACTGTGAAGGGTGGCACCAGTGATTTTGGTAAACAACAATTATTTGTCCACTTTTCTTTCAACTGAATAAATATGCTCATATTAAAAATTGGATTTTAGTTTTTTTCTTCAACCCTGACCTGAACCTTGTGCTTTTTTTCTTTCTGACAGCCGAGCCAATCACAGCGTAGTTCCTTATCATTACTATGAGCAGAAGAGGATCAGTGAGTGCAGGATGTACACATACCATGAGAACACACAGCGCGGAGGACACCGCTTCATCACTGAGAAGGCTATCTATGCTAAATGGGCAACACGCCAGAAAATACAGTTCAAACATCCTGCATGGAGGCTCTGAGAAATGGCATCCTGTATAAATATCTCATCAACAAAGAAGGTGACAGTGTTACAAAAGCATGAAGAACTTACTGGTCTCAAGTATTTTGTTGTTGTTCTTAAAAGGTATTTACCGTTTTTTTAATTTTATGTGAGGAAGAGCATTAAACTGGCAGCGTAGTGTCTGTGACTGATTATATTGGTTTTGTTTACCCATATATTTGTATGAAAAGCATAATAAAACACAAAACTAAACCCAAACACTACGTCACAGCTGGCTGCTAATTCATTAGTTTCCTTTTCGTGCCTTAATTAACACACCTACTGTGCAAATTTTTTACTTGGAGCAATCTACCTGTTTGTTCTAAAGCTAAAATACAGTATGCGCTTTTACAGCCAGGAATCTGCAGTTGTAATTAACATTTCTTTTCAATAGATAAATTAAATGAAATACAAATATTCAAGATATCAAATGTTACACTTATATAATTCAAAAAAATATATATTTTTTTTTTTTAGAGTTTAAGTCTGGTGTTCATAACAATTAATCTTTTTTACAATCTGGCAAATAACAACCACAAATTTCAAAGCTTTTTCTTTGGATTTTATATGGTAGACCAACACAGAGTAGTGTATAACTGTGAAGTGAAAGAAAAATTACACATTTTGTTTAGTTTTGTTTTACAAAAAGAAATCTTAAAAGAGTGGAACACATTTGTATTTTGCCAAGTTTACTCTAACACCTCTAAATAAAATCCAATGTAACTAACTGCTGTCAAAAGTCACCAACATAGTTAGATACCATTGTTAAGTCTGCAGGAGCTGCAGAGATCCATAGCTCATCTGGGAGAATCTGTCAGCAGCAGAGTTATTACAAAATCACGCTTTCATGGAAGCGTGGCAAGACAAAAGCAGTAAGAAGTCCTGTTTGGAGTTTCTCAAAAGTCATATAGGAGACATGGCTAACATAAAAGAAGGTTCTTTGGTCAGATGAAACCAAAACTGAACTTCTTTATGTACATGCAGAACAATTTATAGTATGTGGAGAAAGATTTATAGTTTACATTGCCTTAAACACGCTATACCCACAGTGAAACATGGCAGCATCATGCTTTGGGTAATGCTTTGATTCAGCAGGGACAGGGGAGAGCTCCTGAGTTGAAGGGAATATGCATATAGCTAAAAACAGGGCATCCCTGGAAGAAAAGTGGTTAGAGGCTGCAAAATACTTGAGACTGGGGCAGAGATTCCCTTTACAGCAGGACAACAACCCCTAACACGCAGCTAGAGCTACAATGGAAAGGTTTGGAACAATGCCTATTTATGCGTTAAAATGGACCAGTCAAAGTCCTAACTGAAATCCTACTGAGAATCTGTAGCAAGACTTGAGATGTGATGTTCATATACTCTCTCTTTCCAATCTGACAAAGCTTGATGTATGTAGATGTGCAAATGTATTTTTCATTTCATTTTTACCTATTTAATGAGTGTTGATCTATCAGTTAAAGTGCTAATAAAATACATTGGCATTTGCAGTCATAAGGTGACGAAATATGAAAGGTTTAAAGCGCATGAGCACTTTTGCAAGGCTCTAGGAATTGTAAAATTCAAAGCTTTCATAAATTAGATTTTATTGAAAATATATATTTTTTTGCTTTACTTTTTTAATGTAGCTTTTGGATGCGTTTTTTAAAAAGCCAAGAATAAATGCCAAAACAGAGAGGCATTTCATTTCATTCTGCTTGGGTTTCTCCGCTCTCATTGTGCCCATTTACAGTTTATCAGTATTTCCACATATTGCTGGAAACCTGGTTGCAGCCTTTACATACAGTAGATATGCCTGTTAGAATGTTACTGAACCCTGTGATGATGCTTTATATGTGTTGAATGTGTGCAACAGAGCAGTCAGCGTTGAAATGTTACTGGTGAACAAAAGTGAACAAATCAATAGCTTGTGTGCTTGGAATGAGAATCTTTTTTCCTTTTTTTCCATTTTTAGGGAAAAAAAAGAGATGCATTGTCACATTCCACGTTGCTTCTATAAATGTCATGTTCGCATACTGAGCT